TCCTCTCTGCTGGACGCGGTCCGTTTCGACAACATCTGCACTTCGAATAACTCGGAGGATGAAACCGAGATTTACGGCCTCAGCTACCGGAATTCGGTGAAACTATCGCATTTTTAGTATGTATATCCACGGTGAAATTACCAGATTACGTATCTCGTTTGCGGTGTTTGAAATTCTCCTCTCCTATTTTATTTTTTTTGAAGAAGAACAAATCAATATTATTCCTTGAAGTTTTCAAAGAGCTTTCTTCAAACAGAGAAAATATATCACAGAAATTTTCAAGAATTGAAGCTGAGTAGTTTTGCATTTCAAAAATAAAGTATGATACGAAATCTGCAGCGTCGCAAATCGAGAAAGGTGGGCTGCTGATAGTTTCACCTTTCATATATTGCAGGCAAATAGTCTAATCAGAAGTCTTGTCCAAAGCACATAAGTAAATCTTACTTAGATTGAACTCCTGATTCCATTGCTGCTTTTTGGATAATAATACTCACTGATCACTCAAGAAATAGTTCTCTGTAAAAATGCGAGGCAGAGAAAAGTCTTTTAAATATTTAGTAGCTCCTGAATGAACATTAATTTTAAAATTTGTAGCATGTCATAATTATTAAAGTTTAAACAATTAAATATATGCGGAACATTCGAAGAGAAAAGAACAAGGAGATTTCGTAGATTTAATTAGTCGTTTTATTCAAAATATTGAGAACTCGTGAGCTTTTTGTCTTAAATGCGCAACACTTTTAACTGTCTAAAGATGATAATCTGCTTAGGCATTTAATAAAATACCTCATTTTAAACAAATGCAGCAGCTCGTTAATAAAATGATCGCAAAGTACACCGCGTTCTCAGAGAAAATCAGCCCATTTTATCAGATTGTTCGTGCTATTTACGATGAGCAATATGCGGTTTCTTCGGACGCAACTATTTTAACTCCAGTGTGGTCATTGAAGTATAACCTCCTAATTGAAGGCGCGAATGTTTCCAAATCCTACTCTTGGACACTCCTCGTATTTTGAAAATTTCGAGTGTGGGTATCCGAGTTATCATGTTTATTCCCACTCATTGCTGGTTCGAAATCAATTACAGCGTGTTAATTTCATCGTGTAGCATCTTAAAAACTCATTGGAAATATCTTTGTTGCTTACGGAAAATTTATCAAATTTTGAGCGTGGAATTCTTCGACACACTGAGAAGAATTGGGTTCATCATCGCAAAAAAAGACCTTCTCAGCAGTTTCTATGTGTATGCTGAAGGAACCCGTTGCAACAAGGAAACTGTTAATTAGGCCGTTCGTGTAAATGTGTGATGTTGCAAATTTTCTTTATGCATATTTCTATGATTTTTTTCATTGACGCAGAATAATTGCACGAAATTGTTAGTAATACTTTTTTACTCGTATGGCTAAAAAATTTAAGTTGCGCAAAGTTTTCTTGAAAAATACAGCAGAAATTTCAAAACACTGCAATTGAATTACGCGCTTGTAAAAGACCCAATTCCGTCATGTTCAGAGTTTAATGATATTGCCGTTATGACTTCTTGTTTGTTGTGTTTTTCCCCTTTCCTCTTCTTGTTAGGCTTGAAGCAGTCCCGGTCATTTAGAACAATAACAACCTTCGACAGCATTGCCGTGCTGAGGAAAAACGCCGTAACAAAATTCAAATATTGTCATGTTTCCAGCAATAAAATATTTATTTTTGAGCAGAGTAATAAGTATTTTTCTTTGAAATTTTCGGGTTATTTACATCAAATCGCAAATGAAATTCTGGAAAAAATTGGTTGAAAAATATTCCTAGGTATTCCGGAGAGTTCTTGTTTTATAAGGGAAAATTTGGCAACGTCTGAAGGTTCATGCGGCGTTCTTTCTTAGAGCGGCAATTCGTGTTAAAGAGGGAAAGAATTAATAAAAAAATCTACTTTATGTGGTTGTATTTCGCATCACTGCATTCGCGACGGTAGTTTAGATGAGTGATAGGGGGCATCTTCGATCGGTTTGAGAATCCGTCGTTCCTCTGACATAACGACGTATCTCTCTTTCTACGTGAGCTGCGGAAATCCTAGAATTATGCGGAGAACAGGGCTCACGCGAAAGTTCAGATACGCCCTTATGTCAAAAAAGGAGCGAATTGTGAGCGTAGGCAGCACAAGAAACTGCTTTAGCATGCTCATTGGAGCTTTATCAAACGGAGAAATGGGATATCAACACACCATAACTCGATGACTTTCATTTAGGTTCCTCTAATAAATGCCCGCCTTTTCGGTGCCCGCTACCAGAAAAACGTCGTATGTGCCTTTAGGCGTTGCCAACTTTCCTTACATAAAACGTGAATTCTCTGGTAAACTCATGAATATTTTCCTCCCAATTTTTCTGATAATTTTTTTCGCAATTTCACTTGAAGTTCCTGATAATTTCAAAGGAAAATATTTATAGCTTTCCTAAAAAATAAACGTTTCATCGAAGGAAATTTGGCAACTCCCGAATGTTCATACGACGTTCTTCCTCAGCACGGCAGGAATTCCGAGTCGACCGTCTTCGCGACGCAAATTATTATCCTCGGAACAGTCCGTGCCTCACGAAAGGAAAATTCGCTTCATCGATGGAAAATAGATCTGATTTTCAGCGTGGGTTTTTTGATTGGAAATTTTAATCAATTTAACTACCTTCAACTTGCGTTTTCCGAACTTTTTGTCCGACCTGAGCCCCTTTTCAGAGGCGCATCCAGCAATATGGCAACACCGGATTTCCTCCATTTGAAATTACACCTATATTGAATAATCGATTCTTGCCGGAACACCTGGTCCCTCCAAGAATCGATACATTTTCATTCGTTTAAATAGGGAAAAACAATGTTACCAGTTGGCTGGATCCGCCAATGCCCCTTTTAAGCCGGAGGGGGCAGAAAGTTCGAGGCCACAGGATCAATCGGTCTCACATGAAAGTTGTGGACTTACACTGGAAAAAAACACATTGTATCTAGAGTCCTGACTCTTAAAAACATCGACAAGAAAAAGTACTCTTGATTCAATCAGAATCTAGCTTAAATCAAGAACCAAGTTTCTTAATTTAAGCGGATTTCGTTTTGATTCAAGCAAAAATCCGATTGAATCAAGCGTATTTTTTCTTGTCAATGTTTTCAAGAGTCTGGACTCTAGATCCAATGTGTTTTTTTTCCCAGTGTACCCGAAATTTGAACAGTTTAATTGCGGAAGGGCTTGCGCGCAAAAAGTCAAGTTTGTAATACACCTTAAATTTAAGATTGTGTATTTACAGAATAATAAAAAGGTAGAGTATGCCAGCTTCGTAAAGTATGAAGCGAGTGGAAACACTTAAACACAAACATTGACAGTTACGTAAAACCGATACATTTTGGTCAACTTATGACGAATACATGCGAAAAATATTTCGCTGCATTATATGATAATTAGACTTATTACATCATAACGTTACACTTTTTAGTATACATTTAAATTGAAGCTTTTAATTCTTCTAGCCCTGAAAAACTGTGCTGCTTGTTGTTTGGTTCACAAGTCCTGAGCTTTCACGACGCCTTCGGGGGTGAAAGTAAAACAACAACAAAATGTGACGTCAGAGTTTTAGATGGGATCAGACTTTTAGCGGCTCTGGTGCTTGCACTAGAGCTGCTATTCCGGACGGTCCCAGCTGGGGAGTATCATTGGACCATGTTACATTGGAGAGACCGCGCGTTGGTTAATGGGAATCGGCGCCATTTTCTGCTGTTTAGGGGGGACTGATTTTATTTTAATTGATATCTTTTTCCTGTGAGCGAATGCTATGTTGTGTAGTGTATTTTTGGAATCATGGTGATACTGTTAATAATTCAAAACGGGTCTGTGCTTTAATCTCGCACTGGAAAAAATGTACTTTACGTTTAAAATTTGAAAATTAAAATCTGTAAGTTTTCGCGCTTTTTTCGAAGAATGCCGTGGTTGGATCTTCCTAGTCATACTACTCGACATCAGCTGATAGCAAACAAAGGTTACCAAGGAAACCGTAAACGCGTAACAACTACCGTCGCCAGAGCCGCTTTCCGACGCGAATGCGTTGGAGCTTCCTGCTTGTTTTAATTCCCAACCTGTAAAATAAGTTCTGAAAAAAATTGATGACTTTATGGCTTTGTTAACATTGGGTTCTGAGAGTCTCATTAAAGCACTCAAATCGGCGAGGCGGTGAACCAATCAGAAAGCGGCATAGACATGACAATACTCTTTCAGTGTAGGTATGTTTTTATTTAGAAGAGCCCGCTTTAACAGTATTTCCTGGCGCTCTGCATTTCCTCATTCCTTGTGAAACCCCTGTCGACATCTTTTTACATGCATGGCGTCAACTCCGTCTTCTTTTCGCCTTCCAGGAAGAACTCAATCAAGCATTTGTTTGGCAGCCTTTCTTGCGTATTTAAGTTATTCTGAAATATTACTGTGCTTCCTGTTCTTACACCCTCTTCCGATACTTTGGGTGTTGCATCGGTTCTTTCTCCGTAACCGCTTCGAAAGAGGGAGTGATAATATTTCCTTGGTGCTATAATGATAGCTGCCACTCCTCTTCCCGTACACATACTCTTGTAAAATGGCATTCTTTTCTGTCTTTTGGGGGGCTTTTGAATTTTTTTTCTCGTGAAGGGAGACTTACATCCAAGACCTAAGTAGTAGTGATCGCAATGAGTTGCAATTTGATCGGGGAATGTATTGCGATTTTATCTACGTCGATTTATATTGCGCTATTATCGGATGAAAAATTACGATAAATTGCTATTTCATCGGATGAATTTGCAATAAAATCGCGATTTCATCGTAATATTATTGAGTGAATTGAGATCGATTCTTAGTTTTATGGAACACGATTTCACAGAGGTAAAATTTCGACAAGATTGAGAATAATAACTCAGATGTTAGCGATTTTATCGCCAAAAAATCATAAAAAAGTCGCAAATTCCTTTTAAAATATCGCAATTTTTCCGTTGAAGAATACGATTTGGGGAGCCTCATTATTCCCTATTGCGGAAGAAAGATCGAAAACGTTTTAAATGCTTTGCAGCTGCGGCAGTTCCGAAAACATCGAGCAAAATTTCACTTACAAACGCAAGGAAACTTATAAACAGACCTATGATCAGTGCCGCGAATGCTGGTTGTAAGTCACTCAAACTGTGCGGTTTAGGCTCAATTTCGTCGCAAAAATCATCATCCGACGCTGTTGTAACGTTGAACTCTTGACGCATTATCTCCTTGAGGTACTCGTGAGCGTGCCCATATTCCAAGAATCGGATCAATAAATCATTCACCTCATCAAAAAGAAACGAATCCTTCGGGAACGTGAATAAGACAGGATACGTCATCAGACCTTGTTCCATCAAGTGGTAGTTCATCTTTTCTCTCCACAGGGCCGTTCTCACATCAACATTTTTCTTCGAAACAAGGGCTTGCGGAATACTTTGTAAAATTGCATCCGTTTCCGAGATAGCATGCGCGTTTTCTATGGTTTTCAGCAAGTAATCGTCAGTGTCCGTTCCCATGGATAAATTCGAAGTGGGATCCACGTAATACACAGCTACCTCTTGGTTGTGGACCGCCTCGAGATTTAAGAAAGCCATGATGGCATGTAGGCTATCCGTTAGTTTAGCAACGATCGCTTCTTGTAGGTCTAACATCGAAGTGCCTGCTATATATGTCGTTTGGATAAAAATATCAGCCTCCACTAAGTCGTCCATGGAATCGATTTCCGGGTACCGAACTTTTTTGGTCAGTAGCGTGGTCATGTTACTCGAGAAAACCGTCGAGATGACGATTGCAGCAAAACTGAAGACCAGGAAAAGGATCTTGCCGGTGTGAAAGCGACCCAGGAGCAAAGTTGGTGGGTTCCCGCACATGAAATAAGAGTAAACGGTCAACAAAGACGAAGTACCTTCGTACGAACTGATCTCTGCCTCTGAGTAGAAGCGTCGAAACGACGCGCACTGGGAGCGTTGGAAAATGTACTGTGCCAAAACAAAAGTCCCGATCGTGAAAAGAATAAAGATCCAGGCTGTAAGTGTGAAAGCTCGTAAGATCAGTAAATACTGCGGCACGAACTTACTGTGAGGGGTCAATATGGATAAGACGGAAGAGTCAACGCTGATAGAAAAATCGACTTTGGCGGATGGATCGGCTACTTTCAAAGCTCTGAACAAACTTAGCGCGTGCAAAGCGACTCCATACTTCTGACCTATGTCTAAGGTAATCCTAAACTCGCCATTATTGTAGTCAGGATTAAAAAAGTATCTGCTGAGGTGATACTCTTTCCACATTACACGAAAGTTTAGTGACTTTTCAAGGTATGTCAAAAGGTCGACAAGAAGTAAATCCCAATGTACCTTAATATATATATGGCTGCCAACCCCCTCCACGCCGCAGTAATCCAGGGTAATGAATCCAAGGGATTTACCTCGCATGTCGTTCCAAGAAAAGTCGAAATAAGTCTCACCATCTGCCCCACTGTACGACAGAATATTTTCTGTAAACGGGTCGAACCTATCGCAGCCTTTACTGTCACAGATTACCGTTTTTATTCCATGAAAGAAGCGCCAAAAAAATTTGAAAGTAAACGTTTTTACCGATGCGCACGCCCTGGACGTATCGAAGGTCCCGTTTTTCAATCCTTCAACAAATGGGAGCCTTGATGAGAGTTCATCCGCGGGAACTAAATTCCTCCTTACCGATCCGTGTAGCATGAAAATTAGGTAGTTGTTCGAGTTCCAAATTTTGTTGATGTACAAGCCACGGGTCAAATCGAAAGTTTGCTCCGACAAAATTGAGACATCCGTAAGTTCATCGGACGATATCTTCACTTCTTTATCACATGCTTCATTGGGATATACTTCTAGTGGTATGCCATCAACTTGAATACAGTACCGCGGTAACCACTGCCCGGAATTACACCCACCGTATTCTGCTCCGACTGCAGAATGGGACGCGTTCGCAATTTTCACCGCAGTTGATTTTTCCCAATTGCATCCCGTTTGATTAGTCCAATTTTCCGAGGCTGACTCCAGCACTAAGCTCAATAACTCCCCAATGTCATTCAGGAAGAAGATTATGTTTTTTCGCTGACTGGATTTTGTTATTTCTATCAATTTACTTGGCTCGTTTATCAAAACCGTTTGGATCGAGCCGTCGTGTAAAAGTTGAACTAAAGGTTGAACTGACGGACTAGAATTGAAATCCACAATATATAGCAATGTTTGCTTTGATTGTAAAATTGAATTGTGACACGCTTTGAACGCCAGTGTTGTCAGAGACTGTGTAAGTTCATCAAAATATTGCTGGCTCTCCCAAGGGCACAAAAGAATACAATCCGTCAAGATGCAAAGGAAAACGATTAAGTAATGTTTGTAGAACATTCCGGGTAGGCAATGAATCGGTCAAAGTCTCAAGAATTTGGTTAATGTTAAAAATTGTAATTTGAGCTCTACAAACTTTCTCTATAGTTGAATGATTATATAACGAGTTAAATTGGATTAATTCCTTTTCGAGCACTGAATTATTTTATAGTAGGTAGATATATAAAGGTAAAACGAAAATTAACTGGTAAATTGCGAAATACACGGAATACAGTTGAAAAAGCTGCATAAGTATACAAGAATGAATAAAATTGAGTAATAAGTGAAAGAATCGTTAAAAGAAATAAACTTATTTAACCATAAAATATACGACAAAGAGGACATTAAAAAGTGATCTATCTGCGAAAAACGATCAAATTACGCAAAAAAATTGGAAAATTTTGGAATGAGCTTCTCAGCCATTAAAACAGCGAGACAGCTTTTAATAATTTTATGGGTTGTTTGAACTGACCTGATTTCTCAAAGCGAAGTTACGATCACAATCGTGCATGTTACACAGCCAACACGAACGAAAGTCATGGTGATCTGAATGGACATTGAATGGTAGCAGGAAAAAGCCAGGAGCACTTTAATGTCACCTTAGTCCAAGACTCTTAGGCGTCACTTTTTGTGTTTACCCTGCAGTGGCGTGGTGTTCTTTGCGATATATCGATTGTTATGTCATTTAAACCATGGAAAAGGATCGATAGACAGGGTGTTCGCAGCGAACACCTTAATAATTGATTCTTTACCGTAGGTTTAAATGGCATAACAATCGATAGATCGCAATTCTCGCCACGCCACTGTTGCCCTGTAATCTTTGCTAGACGTCTCATAAAAATCCCTCATACACTCGTGAAATCTGACCCCGTTCTCAAAAACAACGTGCGGTGAAGTAGTTGTTTACAAAAAAAGAAGAAAACAACTGAGGCTATGTAAAGTAGTGATTTATTACGAGCGAATCAGCCTACCTTATAGTCCTTATAGCCCTTGAAGCACCTCTTCAAATAAGACAAATGGAAACAAACACAATCAGAAAAAATAGTGCAGAAAGATCACTAGAGTCGATGCGGCGCAGAGATACAACTATACATACGTAATGGATGTCCGTGTTGCGTACGCAAAATTGAAGGCGCGATGACGCGAGACGTGAACTCGCAATGCTCTGCCAGCTGGGAAACCGTAAAATGGTTTATCCGTATACAATCAACTATTTATCGTAGTCTTGTTACGCTTACACTTCTAGTCGCAATCTAGATACGTGGTTGCGGACTTAGGCCTTGTCTCACGGGACGTTTTCATGGGATTTGTCCCAAGTTCGAAACGCAGGAATGAAACTTCGGGGATTTTTCCCAGTTACCGTCTCCAAGGGACGGGGCTCATACAGTCCTGCGACTAGTTTGCGCGGGAAGATAAATTAGTTAAAGTCGAGCACTTAACCGGGATTAAAATAATAATTGCACTCAATTGACAATTGGACACATTATTTTAACTAAATAAACATGAACAATGTAGTAATGAATAAAATATCGCACAATTCTTTTTCACTTCTTCTTCTTCTCTCAGTGGGTCCTGGGGATACAAGTACCATACTTGGTACTGGGAAAAACATTGATTAACTCAATATTTTTCCCAACTTCGTAAGTGGGATTTTTCCCTGGGACAAATCTCGTGAAACGGCTAGTGGAGACAAGGCCTTACGCCGATGAAATTGAGATACGTGGTCTGGGAGTTTGACCCTCGATATAATGCATTTAAACTTATTTCAAAATCAAGTTTGTAGTGGTTTTCTCAATGGAAAAGGTGGACTTTCACCACAACAAGCGACAACTCCTGGTTTGACAATCGTAACAGTCACGCAATTGGAAATGAAAATAGCAATTACAAGCCGAGTAAGATAATGGGTCCCTCCTCCGCTCTCGGCTTTTGCGGACAAACGATTCGTGTGTCCTTATTTACATGCCATCTCTCGTTTCGGGTTCTCTGCATGCTCTCTCGTGTTCTCGATACTCTCGTCCATATCGGTTCATCTGTTTGGATTCTTTTGCCATTAAACCTCGCTTCCCGATCCATTAATTCTTGAAAAATTCGGGCTCTGAATGTAGTGAAGTAACCATCGTAGGCCTGGATCGTTAAGTGACCAAGGTGCGTGAATTTGGCTAACATCTTTATTTCGACGGTGTAAGTCGGCAATCACATAACTCGTTTGCGGTGTCTGAAAATCTCCGGCTCTATGTTATTCTGAAACATGTGTTATGTTAAACATTATGTTATGTTTATGAAAAGAGAAATGATTGACATCATTCTCTGGAGTTTTTGCAGAATTTTCTTCGCAAAGAGAAGAAACATCACGGCAGTTTTAACGAATTGCCGTTGAATAGTTTTCCATTTAAAAAAATGAAGTATGACAGGAGTCTGCGACGGCGCGAACCGAGTTATGTGATAGCTGACTTACACCGTCGATTTTTCCTATAATAAAGTGTTTAAGAGATCAAGGATCATTAATAACTAAATTTCAGTAAAAATACAACCTATTCGTCGCAATCGAGATTTTAACTCAGTCATTGCGCCTTCAATTAAACGGGTATTCTTCAATGACAACACAAGAGGCTGAATAGTTGCTTGTCAAGAAATTGCATGATACACCTGGACTTCCTTTTCAGACCCAACCACAAGGGTCGTCACAGACTCCATTTTCCCTCTGTCCTCTCTGTCTATCAATTTCAATAATCAGCCCAGAGTTTTGTGTTTCATCATACACATGGAAAAAATCGATTGCTGATTTAACCATAAAAATGTCCGACTTGTTTAAAATGCACGTTTCATAATAGTTGAAAGCTAATTTAAACACGGGGGTGGTTAAATGGATGTATTTCTATCAAACAGAACTATGTGCAGGTGAGAAATATGGGGTGCGCTCTAGAAAGCTGGATAAGAAACAATGTGGTCAGTGGGCGTGATTCCTTTTGAAGAATTGGAAAAGCAGGATTTTAAATTCAGCAAAGAGAACTATGTGCCAACTTAATGCGGGATATATGAGCCGCGGGCATGGCACGAGAGCGTTGCGAACAGGGCTCATGAGTTAATGACCAACGAGGCGAGCTGCACGACGGCATCCATCTCCGTTGACGTCACTGGAATTTTATTATTCTCATTCACTCTTACGGCCAGAGAACTGACGAGCACATCCCATACTTCTCACCTCCACATAAATCTGTTTGATAGAAATACGTCCAATTAGCATTGTTTTTAATTGTTAAATCGACATTGAAACACAGGGCCGGATTTACCAACTTGCCGCCCATGGGCTGCCTGTATTTTGCCGCCCCTTATCATTCGTTTTGAAACATCAATAAAAACCATTAAGTGAACCGTTGCCTACGAGAATAGAGAGGCCGTAACTACGATTCTGTGACGTCACGCTAGTAGATGAAACTCGGCTGCGATTTAACATGTGTTCTTATGGGAGAACGCATGGCACATGTTCCTTTTGTGCTAATATCTTTTCAGGGGTTGATCTGATGCAAAAATTCATAAGAACCATTTTGAAAGAAGATAAAATTTCACATCAGAAAACTGCCTAGTTCATAAATTACATTGTCTGATAATTGAGGAAATAAAAGCTAAACACGACTAAATACCGAAAATCGTTACCCCTCTAAGATTCAAACGCGCCGCTCATGCAACTTCGGCCGATCGACGACGGCTCTGATTGGTTAACACGGCGATTACTCTACTAGTTTGACGTCACGAAACCGAGTAGTTACGGCCTCTCCATTCTCGTAGGCAACGAGTGAACGTGCCAAAGAGAGAGAGGGGTGCATTAGACGCGTTCATTCTTGTTGGACACATTATTTGCGAAAACTCTGTCAACACTACAAGCAAAAGTTCACAAAACTTTGCGCAAAAGTTCAGTTCCGTATACCTAT